CCAAGGATTAGAAGGTAGATAGAAAAATTACTGGTGCTCACAAGAAGTAACAGTTAGTGGGAAGGGAATGCTTAAATAGGTGGAGAGTCAAAGATTTAGGGCAGTGAACATGCTCTATATAATGCTATCATGGGGGGCATGTCTCATACACTTGTCCAAACCTGTAGAATGTATGACAACTAGGATGAAAACTATGTGCACTATAGACAACTGGTGCATAACACTTCGTCAGTAGTAACAAACATGCCACTTTGATGGGGGATGCTGGTAATAAGGTTATGTAGGATGGAGATTACACAGGAAATCTCTGTACCTTTTTCATAATTTTGTGATGAACCTGTTACTCCTTAAAAATGACTTTAAAAAATGTAAAAAGAGCAGACTTCAAAAGTCAAATCAAACTTCACAGGAAAAAGGCAAAATCATGAAAAAAACTGTGATCAATCATTAGCAGAGAGGTTGAAAAGACATGCTCCAGTTGCTTTAAAAATTCACAGAGCACAGGTCTCCCTAAAATAGTTTTGCAAAGTACACTGAGAATTCCATGTAGTAATGTGAAACATAAGTCCCACTGCTGCCACTGAACACGTTTCAGTTGGCTAAACCAGAGGAGCTTGACATGAACCCAAGGCTCTGTAAAACTCAACAGGAGAGCTCAATGGAGACACAGATGCGGTTGCAAAGCTGCCCCAGATGTGTACATGTTCTGCTTCATTAAAATGACTTGGATGAGAGGCAAAGTACATTTGGCACACAGAAAGACAGAGGCAGGGGAGGGGCAGGACAAGACAGTCAGGCTCATAGCAGGCCTCCTTCTCCTGAGACTTGCATTCCTTTCAGTTCTTCCTCAGGCTGCTCTTGAGCAAACTGCCTAAAATGAAAATATGGCCATGAGCTCCCAGAGCCAGAAGCTTTGCATCAGTCTTGATTTCCTTGACTTTTCAAGGATTCAGTGTGAAATCAAGATCATGTATACATAGTACCTGACTCACACAGTTTATAGTAAGCTTTGAAAGACAAGTAGATATCCCAGTTATCATCACTGCCCAGGTCACGTGAGGAGAAGCGAAGATGTTTGGGAAGAAGACAGATGAATCCCTGGGAGATGGGTTACTCAGTTTGCCCATATTTGAAGGGCTGGTTTGAAACTCTTGGTAAACCTGATAGGCCAACTACAAGGTGGAAGGTTGTACCTCAGTGCCAGTAAAGAACTTTCTAACAACGTGTGTATGAAAGGTAAGCTGTAGTAGTAAACATCCTGACATAGACCAGTATAAAAGGAGTGTGAATGACCATTTTTCATGAATATTGAAGAGAAGATTTGCTTGAACTTGATGTTTTTAATTGCATCTTTGAGTCTGGAATCTGTATGTTGGAATTATCTTTGCTTGTCAATTGATGAATCACAAACATCTTGGGTTTCTGAAGTATATAAAGCCCAGGACTAGACCTCTGAGTCAAGGAAGAGGTGCTTGTATGCTCAGCTTTCACTGAAGGAGAAGCATGGCACAGAGTAGGTTCTTCATGTGTTTGTGTCAGTAGACTGAATGTTTGAACCCACACAGGAAGTAGAAACTGGATGTCTTTGTGTTGCTGCCCATTGTGTCTCTGAGCACCCTGCGCCTGCTATTCTTTCTCCATTCAGTGAACCTATATGCAAAATATATTTGAGTCTGTGTTACTCTATTGGTATCCATTTCCATTATTTGTTCTTTTCTTTTCTTGAGGTTCTTGGGAAATAAAACTTTTGCCTTATGATAATAATTTAAATTGTATGGGTACAGAATTCATTTGAACCTTATAGTGCAATGATAATTAACATGTTCAAGAATGAGTTGTCTTAAAATCATAGCTTGTGTTTTGCCCTTAAGTCACTGGCACTGGGAAAAACAGAGTAGGGGGCTGGGGAGAAAGCTCAGTAGAATAAGCATTTGCCTGGCAAGTGCAAGGGCCTGAGTTCAATCCCCAGTTCTACAAAAAGAAAGAAAGAAGGAAAGAGAGAGAGAGAGAGAGAGAGA